TAATACATCTCATTACAAAGGGTTGTAAGACGCAGCCGTGAAAAACGACGTGCATCTCTGATCTCAGGTCAAATCTTAAAAGAATCACCTGCTTGATCAGTCAAGGGTTGTCAATGACACTTAAAGTTAATAAAGTTTTCATTTTGAAGGATAATCTGGGCGCAGAAGTCCGCAAATTGACCTCAACAGAAAGGGAAGATGAATTGCTTTGCAGCTGAGACTGTTAATTTGTGCAAAGAATCCCTAGGTTCACCGTCTTTCGAGTGATATTGATCCAAGTTGAGTTTTTGTCTGTCCCGTTGTGGCAGACAATTTCAGAGAATGAGACCACTTAATCAAAATGTAAAAATCCTGAAGCCGCAAATGGGCGAAGTTGGGCTATAGGAGGTTCGGACAACATTCTTAGCTTAGTATTTGTTAGAGTTTCCCTAAAAATGGTCTTATGCTCTGATGATGTCTGTAACGAATGTATAGGATGTAGGAAGTTATCTGAGATTATAAAGGGATTCTACGAAATCCAGATTTTCATCATAAAGTTGGCAGCATTCATCCTAACGACTATTAGACTGTTTAAATTCAAGGCCTACCCAAAACAACAGAACATGGTTGCATTAGGACTCGAGACTATAGGCCTAGTTGAGTTCGGCGAGTCAAAAATGCCATCACCGATAAAAGCTCCTGAAAAAATAAATTTAACATGGGTACATTTTCTGATGGAAGAATAACTGGCAGTGATACCGAAGTCAGATCGTCAATTTCTTTAAGCAGCAGAAAATAGGGGGCTATGAAAAACTTTTCGACTTGACCAGCAGAATCTATACGCATATATAGCGGAGATTATGCGGCATTTGTCTGCCGCTGGTTAGGAATAGCATTTCACAGGCTCATGTAAGAGGCTCATGTAAGAGTTTCAAGGAAAAAATTATCTGAGCATATAAGCGAGATTTGGGAATCCTAGACGTGATTCAAATAACATACTAGCACACCCAGAGATATGCACATTAATGCAGCATACCATTGATACAACCATGCATACATATATATATATACAGCGTAGTTGCGACCTTAAATCTGTCCTAAAGTCAATTAGAGTTGTTCATAACCAAGCACAGTATATCAGTTAGTCTGAATCCAACTCAGCCAATAATTTCAGCATTTAAAGTGAAAGGCTTGTAAAAAATATGCAGAAATATGCATTGCTGCTATATATAGCAAGGGTAAAAAACTAATGTATATAAGCAACGCCGTCTACTCCTTCATTAATGTTTTTCATGCAGTCGTTAGGTGTTGTAATTTTCTCATAATTTTTCCGAGTGGTATTCAAGTAAAATTAAATGTGACAATAATGCCATTAACTAAATTGTCGACATAATTGGATGAGAGGTGAAGTTGTCTAATGGTTTGGGCCGTTAGCGTAATTTGTCGAGCTTACTAGACACCGGTTGGCATGCAGAGAAATGGTGAGTAGTCAAAAGCCTGTGCTTACGGTATCCAAAAGTATAGATTTTACATTTTTAGGCTAAATGAACATAAATCGCCAAAGGCGGCCTAAGGGTCGGTGTTTACAGCAAGATTGAATAAGAATTAAGATGCTCTGAGTACAAAGATCTTGTTTAAATTATAGAGAGTAACCACAGGGAAAAAGGGCCGTAGAAACGTAGCAGAGTGGTGTACTAAAAACTGTTGCTATGCTTGGCTCATTTAATAGGCAGAGCTGGCTGGTAAGATCCAGCCTAACATTTAGCTAAGCAAAGAAGGGTAAGAAATCCATAAATAAAAAATCTAAACCCAAGCAAGATATAAGCATTGCTTTGGGCATCCAGGAATTGCTGACTTCTATATTTCCGCATCCATCGTGAGTTAGAATTCGCCTACTGGTGTAGGAAGCGCTTAGGAAATCCGACTAGCAACGAGATACTCTGAATGAACCCTCTCTTTGATGCGGCTTTTAATTTGGTGACAACAAAATGAGCACAGCGAATGGTATTTTGGGATAACCAGCATCTATACGAAGATACTTTCAGAAAATTATCCATACAGAAGGGTATCCTAATAGCCGAAAAGTCAGGCGATTGACGGGATTGATCTCGTTCACTCTTATTGGTAGGAGAAAAAAGTGTGGGTTATGACTGCGAGTTTGCCCAAGAGTCTTACTCTATCTACAATGAATATGAATTTCACAACTATTCAGCCTCTAAGATAGAATAAATTTCATTCAAAATAAGAGAATAAGAATAAGGTAGACATTACAGAGGCAGGACAGGGCTGTCTAGCAATGCATCTATAATAGCGGTTATAAACACAGTATTGCGAACAAGTAGTCATATTAGTTCCATAATCGAAAGAATCACAAATTAGAAAAGCAGAAAAATTAGCCTGTAGAATAAGTTTATTCAATCGTCTTTCAGAAAATGACAGGAAACAGAAGTGAGTCAGCAAAAGTTCGTATAAATACATGTGTTCTGGCATGAAAGGCAAGGTCAAGTATAACTTTTAATGGTCGCTTCGGAGTATCGTGGCAAAAAAGTCTTTAAAATGTTCTGATAAGAATAAAAGAAATAGTAAAAGAACATTCTCTAAAAAGATCATGAAATACATCAATTGCGGGCCCCAAATGGCCTTAAGGGTTAATGAAAAAGATTTATCCTAAATGAATGAAAACTAGTTTCAGATAAGCCCAATAAGTAGGATAAAAAGGAGTAGAAACAGAATTAGGTAAATCGGTCGAGCAAAGAATGGGTCAAAATAGTTTCAGGATATAAAATTATACCAAGGATGTGATCCTATTACAAAATACAGAGGCAGTACTGGTGGTAGGATAAAAACTTATATTGACAAGTCATTTGAGAACTCCGTACTCATCCTCTTCAAAAGCCTTCTTGGCACGACGAAGTTCTTCGCTGAGAATCAACAGCTCTTTGACACGAGAATACTTTCGGGGATCTCGCCGAACAAGATAGAGAATATCATCGGGGGAAATCTTGCCAGGAGTGCCGACAAGAAGAGCTTGGCGAGTCTTCAGATCCGAAGGATAAATAGCGTAACAGATGAAACAAGGATAGAGGTGAGCAAAAGTCGATTAAACAGTATAGGAGTAATAGAAACATAATAAAAGAAAAAATAAGGTATATTGGAAAAAACAAAAAAATTAAACGTTAATCGAAAATATAAAGACCAAGATGGCGGGGCCATCGGTATGGTCGCAGACTCCTTTCGATGTATAGAATTAGGGTAAGGTCATTTTCGCAACTTGGTTGTGTTATCATGGCGACTTAGATAAAGGCAACTTGTCAGTAGTCCTCTGTTATAGTAGTTAACATAACTCACAGCATCAGGCCATGGACTTGGTACATTCTCAGACGTTTCCCGGCATCTTTAGTGAGTCGTGCCAGTCTCAGCACAAAGCTACAGCTCGTCAAATAGACAAGTGAAATCAATCACTGGACCAAAACTTCTACCGAAACGGTTGTGCTATCACTCCTCTTTCTGTCCTGGCCTATCTATCTACTCCTTACCCTCTTATCAAACTCCCGCCCTATCGCAACATTTTATTTGGTTACATTCCACTCCCCCAAAAGGCATTATCGCACATGTTGTTCACCTTGCCACTTTTGCTCGGCTAATCAAACTCAGATCTCATATCCGCATCTCCCTCATGGTCCCGTTGGACCATTTGCTATCTTTTTGGTTGATCGATTTAACTCGGTTCCAGCCCCAGTGTACGTTTTACTCCACGCGCTATTTCGAAAGTCTTTAGAAACATGTAACCTGTCGCCTCTCCAAGCAGAGCACCTAGGCTCTGATTCCCATGCTTGCAGATATCAGGCATTGCCTTCAAAATTCGTCTACTTGATAGTAGACGGACTGGTAGTAGAATTTTTTTATAATAATATGAGTTGAGTTGACGTTTCCATTGAATTTCACATAGCCTTACTTTCCCAAAAGTTGTTCTCATCCAGGGTGGACTGCAGTTGATAAGACCGATGCGAGGTCAAAACTGCAGTCCACTACAGCCTGAATGAGAACAACTTTTGGGAAAGCAAGGCTATGTGAAATTCAATGGAAACGTCAGCTTAACTCATATCATTAAAGCAAGGTTGAAAACAACTTTTGGGAAAGCAAGGCTATGTGAAATTCAATGGAAACGTCAGCTCAACTCATATCATTGTTGTGGGAAAATCATACTACCAGTCCTTCATCACCTTACACGAAATAGGGTGAATACATCTCATTACACTGATTTACTGGTAGTTTCGACTACCAGTCCTTCATCACCTTAGACGAAATAGGGTGAATACATCTCATTATGTGAAATTCAATGGAAATAATACCAGTCCTTCATCACCTTACACGAAATAGGGTGAATACATCTCATTACACTGATTTACTGGTAGCCTCTAACCAGTCCTTCATCACCTTAGACGAAATAGGGGGAATACATCTCATAACATAAAGGAGTTTTCTTGACTCAGGCCAGTCCTTCATCACCTTAAACGAAATAGGGTGAATACATCTCATATTACTGATTTACTGGTAGTTTCGAAGAAAAGCAAGGCTATGTGAAATTCAATGGAAACGTCAGCTCAACTCATATCATTGTGGGAAAATTCTACTACTCCTTCATCACCATAGACGAAATAGGGTGAATACATCTAATTTTACTGATTTACTGGAAGTCTCGAAACTCTACTCTAATACGAAAATAAGTAACGAGGTCGATTGTTATAGCAGATATACGTTTGCTTCATCGGCACTCCCACTAAAAGAATATGATATAGCAAAGAGGCCTGACCTTCCTTGAAATTCACTTATGCCCTGTGACGCAGGGGTACTCGTGGCAGTGTAGCCGAGTGGTTAGCGTGTCAAGCTTCCATCCTGGACTGTCGCGGTTAGACTCCCGCTGAGGGTGTTGATAAGACCGATGCGAGGTCTAAACGTCAGCTCAACTCATATCATTGTGGTAAAATTCTACTACCAGTTCTTCATCACCTTAGACGAAATAGGGTGAATACATCTCATATTACTGATTTAC